AGCAGGAATTTCTACCTAAACAGTGTTGCCTAGTAACGCTTTTAATATTCTGCCTTTATCATGTCTCCAGGGAAACAGAGCCAGAAAACTGAGAAAGTCAGAAAGTCAAATTCTTCTGCAGAAAGGGAAAGGTTCTGTTAACCATTTGTCTCTGCTCTTACTGGTTTCTCTGGCTGGGAGGTTCCCTGCACGATATCTGCATGGCTTGTTCTTGCCCCGTCTTCAACTCCTTGGCCAAGAGTCGCCTTCTCAATGAGGCCTTCCTAGGTCATCCTGCTTAAGAATCACAACACCTATCCCACCTGCTAGAACTTTCTACCATCCTTACAAGCTTTACTTTTTTCCTTTGCTTTTAGTGTCTTCTAACATATTATATACTTTATTAATTGATTTCAATCATTTTGCTCATTTTTTTGCCTATGGAATTTATGCTCTACAAAGTTGGGAGATTTTTGCTGTTATTTTTCCCCCCACCAATAATTCATGGTGGAATAGAGCCTGGCACATGGTAGACTCTTCAGTTACTCAATTTATAGGTGAATTTACGCTCCCCTCTCAAACTCTAGTAGTTTTTCATCAGCATCCTTTTTTGCGTGGTCAGAGGTGGTCAAAATACTTTCAGTGACTGAATAAAATGTAGCTTGGGGTTAATGGTTAAGAACAGGACTTTGGAACCAAATTTCTTGGGTTTGAATAAGGATTTTGCCACTCACCTTGGGAGGTTCCCTTAACCTCTGTCTCTCAGGTGTCTCATTTGTAAGTGGGATAATAAGAGCATCTATACCTCAGAGTGGCCATGATAAAGTGAGTAAAAACAAACAAACAAACAAAAAGATGCTATGTAGTATATGAGTACATGGTATTCTATATAGAATAAATTTTGGTTCGGTTACATTTTTAATTCAGAGCTAAACATTGGGTAAAACACTGATACCTCATCAAAATGTTAGTTACTTGAGAAAACCTTATCAGAGTTAAGTGTGAGAGGTAAAGAAAAGCAAAACCTTCATTCAACAGTTCCAAAAGGCATCATGGAGATATATATTCTATATGTAAAGCTAACTTTAAAAGATAAGGGACCCTTTTTGATATCAGTAACATCAAATATTACTTGACTACAATCAGTTGCTGTTTAGGCTCATCAAAATCTTACAAGTACCACATGTACCTTCTTAGGAAAGTTTAGTAACTAAGTGCTTCAGGCTCCCTGCCATGATTACAAATATAATATACAACTAGAGAAGCACAACTACCATTTACACAATTGGAAATCACACACTCATCTCTGTTAAGAGGTTTCATGGACTTGGTGTCTCGCTCTGTTCCCCATTTTGCCATGGGTCCAGGCACTTACCTGTAGCGTACATCCAAACACCCCAATCATCAGCATGGCCACCGAGAGATAATCAGTAAACACATCCCACCATGGCTTCAGCACCCGGAAGGCAGGCTGCTGCTCAGAGAACTGCCGGAATTCTGTTACTGGAATCATGTTTCTGAGAAAGGAAGAAATCAGTATGAATTAATCTATCCTCATGCACAACACACTGCATTGTTACCGGCATTGGAAATATTGCTTCAGCCCATCAGAACCAGAGGTCTGGGTAAGTCCAGGAGCTGTCAAGGCATGCTGGCATTTCCATGAAGGAAACTCCCAGCTGAGGACATGAGACCCACATGGACAAGGCAAGTTTCTTTACTGAATCGGCGTCCAATATCAGGTTCCTCTGTGCTCCATATGGGACAGAGACACCATGGCCAGCGCAGTTCCAAGTTCCAGTTATTTCCTGGTTCCTTGCTTCTCTTCAACAAAACACAAAGATGCCAAAAAGGAAGAGCCCATCCTTTGAAAAGTTTTCCCTACTTATCTTACCATCCTGGGTTATCACTTTGAACTATTAATACTTTTCTAGGTGTCATTTCAGCATTGATTCGTGTTCCTTTCTTTTCTTTTTATAAAACGTAAGACTATCGCATTCAGGTCCAGCTGCACTAGTCTGCACTGCTTCTTGGCAGGCTGTGGCCACAGAGGAGACCCAGGTGAAATTCCCGGCCCACCCTAAAAAACTGGGCATGGTACTATGTGCCTATGTAGTTCCAGCGACTTGTGAGGCTGAGGCAGGAGGATTGTGACAGTAAAATCCTATCTAAACCTGCACACACACACACACACACACACACACACACACGCACGCACAGAAACATCACACTCACTATTACCACAGTGTTCATTGTGTAAATAAAAGTTTTCCAACATTCTAATTATCACTTGAAAGTCTGAATTTTATCATTGTCAACAAATAAAATCAGTTCTGCATGAAGCGTCAGGTTGACTTCATTCATCTGGAGGACATATATGCCATATACCCAATCTGAGTAATTGGTTGTTTTATTAAAGTAAAAGTGGTATGATACAACAGAATAGCTAATTCAACTTTCAATTCAAACAACCACACAAGGGCTTTCTCTTGAACAAACCATTATGCTTTAGAATGTAGCAAAAGTGCTTTCTGTGTTCTTCCCAAACATGTAACATATGTGTTAATACATATTGTACATACACATAATGCATTAATAGTGTATTAATACAATATGTAGTCAAGGGTTGACAGTTACTAAAACAGTAACTCACTGCTTCAAGAAGTTCATTAAGTGAAACTGCCTTTCTTTTTTCTTTGGAGAGGTTTTTGCTATAGGTCACGTGCGCTCGCCAGAAAAACAGAGAGAGACAGAGAGACAGAAAGTGAGAAATCGCGCCCTGGGGAGATGGCTATGCCGCAATCCCTTCTCTTCTCGGGATCTTAGGCACGTATGCACACATGCCCGGCATGAGTTTAAACTACTGGGTCTGGGACTCGAACAGCAGGCGACTACATAGGAGTCCAGCAACATAGCCATTACACAAACTGCTGGTCCCCGGCTTTTTTTTTTTTTTTTCCTTAGAGAGAGATTTTTGCAATTGGGTGTGTACACTTGCTGGAGAAACAGAGAGAGACAGAGGAACAGAAATTAAGAAATCACCCCTTGAGGGGATTGCCATGCCACAATCCCTTTTCCTCCATTCTCCTTTTGGGATCTTGGGCACACATGCACAAGTGCCTGGCATGAGTTTCAAGCTGCCAGGTCCAGAACCTGAACCACAGTCAACTATATTGGAGTCCAGCGACAACCATTACACCATCTGCTGGTCCCTTCATGATGTTTCTTAATGTATTGCCTCTCTCCTTGTACAAGAATGCAAGTTTCATAAAGATAGGACTTTTCGGTTGTATCTCATTCATTGATGGATCACAAATATCTGGAAAATAATGCTTGACATATAGCAGGCAATTAATAATCAACCAATAAATTAGTAAGTAGGTAATAATTCCAGTGATGAATAAGGATGCAAGTGACTTCAGTTTTAGAAATAAGAATTGCAAAAGTCAAGTGTGTGTCTGAGTAATGTCATGTGAGGAAGATCCCTCAGTGCAAGGCCGGGACATTAGCACACCTGAAGCTCTTATGAAGAAGTGCAACAGGGAAAAGGCACAGAAATACCATGATTGAAAATCCACGGCTTCTTTGCAGTTGTACTCCAAAGCTCCACAAATCTAAACAAAGTCACCAGGATATTCCCAAAACAATTAAAACACACACTGCATTTCCTTAAACAGTACAAAGGTAGAAATAAAAAGCAACCAAAAAAGGTCAAAATTTCGCAACTGCATAAAAATTATTATCTTTCTCTCTCAGGAAAGAATGAGTCCGGGTTGTGTTGTATTATATAATTGTGGTTCTTGTGCCAAGTATTCCTACGAAAACCCACTGAAGCAAAACACAATGATATGTTCTGCAGAAATATATTAATTAAAAAGAGAAAAATCATATGGGTTATAAGATTTTTAGAATCTAAAAAGGACCAAAAAGACAATATAGTCTATATTCCGTGTTTTATGGGTGAGAAACTTGAACCAAGAGCAGTTACGTGCATTGTCCAAGGAATAAGCAAGTGGTGAATCATGACTTCTCACCACATTCTCACTCCAGAGCTCTTTGCTAATACTGCATAATGTTGATTAGAACTTAATGAATTTGGGGCTGGTTCCATGACCTGGTGGGCGAGGCTGCCAGATCCCACCTGGCTGGTTCCCTGGTTTGCATCCTAGGCCTGGCAGCTTAAGAAACATGCCAGATGTACATGTATGCCCAAAATCCTGATAGGAGGGAGAAATAGAGAAGGGACTGTGGTGTGACCATCCCCACGGGGGGAGAGGACAAAGCACTATCTCTGGATCTATCTGGTGAGTGCACATGACCTCTAGAGTATATACATACATACATAAAATCTAAAACGTTTTAAGAACAAATAGTTTAAATAGACTACCTCGGAACTGGCAGGTGGTGTGGTGGTTAAGGGCGTTGGACCCTCACATGGCAGACCACAGTTCGAGTCCCAGATTTGGTGACTTGTTTTCTCTTTCTCTCACTCTGTCCCTCTGTGGTCAAATTAAAAATAAATAAGTAAATAAATAAAGTTAAATAAAGTAATTCTTTTAAAAAATAAATAGACTTTATCCTGTATTCAAATATCTCCTTTTTATGTCCCTTAGCTGATAATATAAAATTTTTCTTTTCTTTTCCTTTTTGGGAGAGGACCACCCTCCCCACCTGCCCCGGGGATGGGGTATGGCCATGCCGCAATACTTTCTCCTCTATTCTCCTCTCGGGATCTTAGGTACGCATGTACATGGGTCCAGTGTAAGTTTAAGCCACTGGGTCTGGGATTCGAACCGTGGTCAACTCTATGGGAATCCAACAACATAACCATTATGCCATCTGCTGGTCCCAATATAAACATTTAAAAAATAATAATTATTCACATGTTTAAATTATTTTTAAGCTATACTGATTTTATGGCATTGTAATATGAGAGAACTTTTGACTGGAAGGAATGGTAAGAGGCAAACTGAACTTGAATTCCAATGGATATTTCAGTATTATCCTCTTCTTGGCTATTTCCATGATGTCACATGCTCAGTTAATGGCCCAATTACATTATTTGGAGAGTCTTCAAATTGAGCTTAACCTGTTTTTCTAAGGGTAGTGGTGGGGAGCAAATATCACTCTTACCTAGCAATTTTGGTTTCCCTTCACACATAAACATATTATTCCTCATTCCAATTGTACTCTCATGTTTTTAAAGAACAATCCTTTTAATCACATGTACTTCCAGCCATACATCTCAAGGCCTCTGCTTTACATGATTGTTTCTACAATAACCTTTACTGGAGTCATGGGCCTTTGCAGGTGCTGAAAACTGTTACATACTATGATCAGTGCCTTTTTTCTCTTCCCAGTATGGTTCCCTTTCACTCACGTTCTCACTATAAGTTAATTATGAGGATGAATTATATGTCAGGCACCGTGCTAGGTGCTGAGGAGTCAGACGTGAACAAAACAGGCGAGGCACCTTCCGTCAGCCACACTACATTCATGGGAGAATGTTCATTAAAAAAATTCTCAGAAAAACATGAATCAAAACTGCTTTCTTTGTAAATGGGATCGATTCCTATTTCCTGTACCAATAGTGCTTTTTAAGAAGTTATTTTTATTTCACTGAGGACACAGTTTATATCTTCTAGATCTCTTTATCCTCTAGCAAATATCACAATACCCTAGAAGAAACCCTCAATAGTTATGTGTTAAACTGAAATAGACTTAAAACATACACTCATACACACACATGAATATCCAGTCCAACTATTTTGTACTAAAGACCAAAGTCTATTACGTTATCATTATCTCTGTGCCTTCATTTTAAAAATAATTATTTATTTATTTTATTTATTCATTCATTCATTTTTTAATTTTACCAGTGAGAGACAGAGGTTGAGAGTGAGAGAGAGAGGAAGTGAGAAAGCAAGCCACCGGATTTAGGACTCGAATCCTGGTCGGCCATGTGGGAGTGTCCAGTGCCTTAACTGCCACGCCACCTACTGGTCCCGTGTGCATTCTTTTTTTTTTAAAGAATTATTTGACTTAACTTTATTTATCCATTTGTTTATTTATTTTAATTTGGCCAGAGAGGGACAGAGTGAGAGAGAGAAGGAGAGAGAGAAAGTGAGAAAGCAAGCACCAAGTTGGCCATATGGGAGCCTGGTGCCTTGAACCACAACGCCCCCTGCCAGTCTCATATCCTCTCTTGTACATTCTTGACATTGCAATAAATAAAAGAGAGACTATGACCACATAGCTCAATAGTGTAAATAAGGATTAGTCAGAGAACATTCACTAAAGAAGAGAATGTCTGAGATAAGGAAAGGAGTCAGGAATAATTTATAATTTCAATGTCAAAGGTCATTGAAATTTTAATGCATAGTGTTCTATCTCTAATGCTAAAGAGGATGTACTGATCAATAAGGTCTTCTTCATTCTCAGCTTGTGCTCAAAAAAATGACCAAGTTTGTGACTTTCTTGTTGGGGTGAGAGTCACAAATCAAAAAACAAAAAACAG